AAAAAAAAAATTGAAATGCTAAAAGCGAATTTTGAATACTATAAACGCTGAAATTAAAATCTACATAGTTGTGAAAATAGAATTAATATCGAATTCTTTTGGGACATCTGAGTTTCCACGAAAATATATAAAATTGTGATGATTTTCATGTAGGTGCACACGATTATAATACCGCGTGAGAGCTCTATGTCCGCTATTAGACAACTGCAGTTCTTACTGCGTACAATACAGGTGTACTTTAAGAAGTCTGTGTCCCCCACCCCTCCTCACTTCTCCAGCCAACCGTCAGACGATAAGTTCTCCCCGTCTTGTCGCCCCAACGTTGCAGCACTGATATTATAATATTAAACAGTTAAAATGTGTATGAAGCTGCCTGCAAAGGTACCGCGCAATAAAATGTTATCGGATTATTATATATTTTCGGCGGTCGTGCTCGTGTTTCCTCGCCGACGACGGGTAGTGGGACGATATTGTACACGCGGCGGTTGCGACGGGACAGTGGGTTCAGCGTCGGCGGTGTCGGTGCGAAATTCCGAAGCGCATCCACTCGGCCAGCGAATCAGCCGTGCGCGCGCTTTCCCGCGGCACACCGCCGCCACCGACGGCAGCAGTTCTTCGCCGACACGTATCCGGCGCTGTCTGCAAGCCACATCTCATCACCACATCGTCTGCAGCAGTTCCGTTTGATTTCTATCAATYCGCAATTGGCGTTTATTATCGTTTCAGTTCATACATCGCCCATATCCGCTTTTTCTACCGTATCATATCCGGTAATATCGGATAAGGTCTATTGCGGGTTGACGAGCTGACCCTCGGTCGCCGGCGGGCTTCCATAATTGTCGTCAYACAATTACATTCACTCAAACCATCGTATACTTATATCGAGTAATCCCCCGTGCCTGTACGACTTCCCGCTGACGACGCGGACGTCGCAGTTGCGGCAATCACCACGACGAGCCGACGACATGAGATGCAGTTGGCCGCCAGACGGATCCGATGGTTGTGTTTGTTGTGCGCGTGCGCGCTGGCCGATCAACGCGTCAACACCGCGAACAACGACACTGCACAAACAGGTAGCACTTCCGTCCGTCATGTCCCGTCCCGTCCGCCTCGCTTGTCCCGGCGAAGATCGTCCGTCAGACCTACCCTCTGCAGGCTCACGCAAACGTACCGCTCGCTACCCCAACCACCACCTCGGCAACGTTCCGCCGACGCAAACCCCTCCCCCACCACAGCTTTTAAGCTCCCAGGTCCACGGGTCAATGATGCATGCTGTGCGTGTATATTATGTTAAGTTATATTACAGTATATTATGTAAACTCTGATCAGTCGACCCTATCCCTCGGCAACCCCATTATAGATCTACCTGTACGAGTTTATACCATGCATGATTATCCGTTTGATTTCAGAATAGYCACTCGTCGTTTATTACACAAAATGTTACGTTTGTGAAAAAATCAGCTTTTAGTCAGGTTTATTGAATTAAAAACTCGTAAAAATTTATCTTCTTAAATCTAAGATTTGAAAATTCAATACAAGATTTTTCATGAGTTTGTTTACTTTTATCAAATACCGAAAAGTCAAATTAAATTTTTATGAGCATTTGAATCACAACATATTGGGAATTCACTCAATTTATCTTGTACCGATATTCTAATTTAAAATTTTGTTGTTATTCAGAAACGAAGCTTTCGAAGCTTRAAATTCACACCATATGCTTATTTTATAAATTCCTACACTTGATACCAACATTTTCAAAATATTTTATCAATTTTTAAGTTATTTATAGATATTTGAAATTTACCGTTTTTTTAGTTTTGTATTTTTTAAATGTTGATAACATTTTATTCATTGGGTACAAATCTTAGAAAATTTAAAA